CATTTAATTTTTAATATTTTTTACTTTTATTAAAATTTCCAATCCACTAATTCACCATTTTCCTCACCTCTATTTCCGCTTTCAACATTCTTCACTCATTTTCGAACGCTGTCAACACTTTGGCCGCACGTTTTAGCACACGATTTTTTCTAACGCACTTATTTGTTGTTGTTTTCACTATTTCACTACCAAAACACGCCAGATTCCGCTTTTAACACACTTCATTAGTTCGTTTATTTTGTCGTGCTGCGTTAATAAATTCGGCTCRCTGTTAGTATTTCGTATTTTCACTTTGTTAGTTTTGGTTTTGTTGTTGTTGTTTTACACCTTTGAAGACCTGTAGTCGTCYAGCTGCTGGCTGTTACTACGCTCATATGCTAACTGTAAGGAAACAAAACAAAAMAGAAGATGAAAATATAAATAACACACATTCTAGCCAGACAAAAATATTTCACATTTCTCCAGCGGCGGCAGAAGCGTAGAAAACCGGTAACCGATAAGTAAATGCGTTTAATATAGAAATTTGTGTTACTAATTTAAGTGTGGAATTTGTGTTGCGGCGGCAGCTAATTGCCTAAAGCACGCATTTTTACAGTTCATTATGGATTTGGATGGTTTTTTCCACAATTTTCACAGAGACATACAATATTTTTCAATAATAAATTATAAAAACATGCATATGTATATACATAGCTATATATATATACAAAAATAGATAAATATATAATTATGTCTATATATTCAAATATATTTTACTAAATCATTAACATTCACTTTATCACTTTTCTTTTCTGTTTKTGTTCTGCCACAAATTTTGTGACTTTAAGATCGCAGAAACGCTGACGCCGCACCAATCGTTTACAACTCAACTAAGCAACTGACGATCACCACGATCGTCGGCAAATCACAAACTCTTGTCTCTGTGCATCAAAACAACTGCGTTGTCTCGAGTCAGTATTGCGCTCACGTTCGTCGTAATTGTTTGACTGACTCTGGAAATGTTTATTTTTTCATTCATGCTCATAAACTCAGGCTCGACTTGTCTAAATGCGTGCGGCGGTTTTCTTTTATTTTTATCGTTTTTATTTTATCTATTTTTGAGCTCCATTTGTAGGCGTAAATATACAAAGTAGAGTGGAAAATCCAACAAGATCTGTGGCATACACCCCCGCTTCAATATAAGCAAGCCTCTGACTGATTGAACGCCGGAGAGCGAGACAGGAAGTGAGAGCGTGGTCGCGAGCAGCTCATTAAGTGTTWTGTATATTCCCGGAATTAGATGTCACAGCATGCACAAGCAAAACTAACTCATAGTTTTGTTTGGCAGTTACAAACACAGGATACAAATTGTGAGATTTTCACTAGATTTAAGCCTATGGAATGCGGATCAATAAATCAAGCCGGGAAGGAAATACATACATACATATATAATAGCAAATGTTGAGTAATATTAGGTAAGGTGACAGATTTTTAACTTTATCTCGATTTATTGGCACTTTTATGAGTGCTGTATGAGMATTATACAAAATTTCTTTACCATTTGCTATAAAAGGATGGGTAAAATGGAAATCGAAATCAATACCAAGTCATTCGGTGTGGATTTGCTTTTAAGTAAAAATCTGTGGAAACAACAGCTTGACAAAATATCCCAGAATACTAACTCAGAACGACATTTATAGCAGCGAGCTTTCGAGTGAATAATTTGTTTAAAATTCAGTTGAATACCGTGTTTTCCAATAAGGATGATATGATTTCTAAGTATCGTTTCGGCCATTTTGAATCTGTCGTGATCTATAATTTTTTTATTGGATTCTGTAATGTTTATAATTTCATCGTGGAAAGATATACACAAAAACAACTTTTACAAATTAGTCAATTTTACTATCAAAATAACCGTTCTGCATTACGGTCGAAATCATCGTCCATCCGTGCTCGCTATTCGCTGAATTGTTGAAAATTTTGAGCTAACTTTTTCTTTATGGAATGTTCAACTGCTAACAAGACAAAGAACAGCCTGAAGTAATGAAAATATTGAATAATCGAAATTTGTCGACTCCAAGATGTTCTCAAGAACATCTCGACTCAAGCCACAAGTTGCTGGGTTTTGAGAAAAGATTTGTTCTTGCATCCATATAAAATTGTTCTCATTCAATAACTGAAACCATTGAATCAACGTAAGCGTCGTGTGTTTGCTGATATTGCCTTGGAACAACTTTGTAACTATTTTTTTTTAATAATATAGTCTTTTCCGATGAGGCTCACATTCATCTGAGTGGTGCGGTAATAACCAAACTGTTGATACTGTTGCGAAGAAAATCACCTAAATCAACACTTTAGTGTGGCTTTTCGTCTGGTGGAATCGGTCGGTTCGTACTTTTTTCGAATTGAAGCTGAGGACACTGTTACTGTCAATGAGCGTTATAGATCGCTGATAATCAACTTTTTATGGCGGCATTGCAAGAAGTTGATCTTGACAACATCTTGTTCCTACAAAATGGAGCTACGTGCCATACAGCACGTAAAACAAGCGAATTATTACGAGAAAGGTTTGGAGATTCTTTTATTTCAAAAAATAAAACAGCAGCAAGACACGCAGAAGCAGGAAGCTTAATCCATTCCAGATACCGACGCAAGCATGACTTCACTTACACAACCGCCAGGTAGCTACGGAAACAACAAAGGTATTACTGATAACAAATAAGCGCATAACCCTCGAAATAAGTATTCAAACGACTACGGATGTTCTTAGGACAAAAAKCCTACATAGACGTAGGACTGGACCCCAAACTAACCTTCTGGGTACAAAAATCCAGCACGACGTAGGAAAAGCAGCGAAAATCACCACCCAACTTAGCAGACTTATGGCCAACATAGGACGCCCATGCAAGAAAAGAGAAAGCTCCTTATGTTCTCGACAGTCAGCCCCTATTATACGGAGCTGAGATCTGGTGAAAGGAGCTTAAAAAGGAAAACCGGCGTAAGGTAGTAATCAGAGACACCAAACCGCGGTCCTCAGAGTGCATTAGCCTTGCGAACAGTGTCAGGCGACGCAATATTAGTTATAGGCGGTAATGCTCCAATTGACCTTTTCAATCATCACTCTTATTGGAAAATCTTGTAGCTTGGTTACACTTACTAGTGAGAGGAATCTCTAAGGAACGTTCGCTAAATTTCTGATTAGCAACCWTCCGTCAGTTAAGTTCTGTTTAACTTAACCAGGACTTCTTCTTTCGGTAAAGAACCTTTCTTTAAACTTGAACTTGACTAGACATTTTGACGTAACTAAGTATAGTCAGCACATGACAGTCAATGAAAAGCAATAATGAAGATTAATGTATCCTATAGGGTAGGTCCAAAGTTAAGGTTGAAGAGATCCATGGAAACTATTTTCTACTATGATTTTGTTAAAAMACACCAACCAAAACGTTAMARTTAATCAAATAAGRTGGARTAAAGAGAAATATATTATTTTTGSMTTAAATTGAAGTTTCTTTAGCGTTAGAATAGTTCCATAACTTCTTTACCTTTTAAAGGACATTCAATGCGGTAAAATTATAAATTTTTTGAAGAAGTTCCGATACGAATACTATACTCCTACTTAAGTTTGTCTATTATTTCAATCTAAACGGAATCCCTCAGTAATTGAGGCTTAAATCTTTCATCATCTAACAGTCAGTTGTCTATAGTTACTTTTCTGAAATCTGGAAAGTCTATAGACTATTGAACTTAATACTTGGCAGCGAGGCCATATGTAATCAACTCATCAAGCTGCCTAGAAATCAATCTAGTGTCATAAAGACCTCCTTTTATACACAAAGAGCTGGGAACTAAAAAATACCGACTCTAGACTTCATTCTCATGTATCTTTGTATGAAAGTGTTGAAACAAAAACCCGGTTAACCTCAAAACGCAGACGTCGRGTGTCGCAGTTGCGTTACAACCGGTATTATTCATTACAGCTAAACACAGAGTTGTTTGTTGCAAGACCGCAAGCCGGTAATGCTCAGCTTGKTATTACCACTGTGTGTGTTTGTTGTTGTAGTCGGAGTTGCTAGTAGCTGCAACTAAAACACAATGAGTCATCGCACAACGTTTGGTGAGAGCTTAAAAATGGCAAGAAAGTAAGTTGCTGCAAMAACAACAACAGCAGCAGMRGCGRCAGCAACAACGAAATGAACGCCATAATAAAGAAGTAAACACAATATCACAACAATTAATTTAGCAACAAAGGGAGGAAGTTCGCGGTTTGTTTCCTACACTCCGCTTAGCGGTCTTTGACGGTTTTGTGTGCCATAATTCCCATTGTGCACAGAATGCGACTACATAAAAGCTTATGTACATATGCTGTTGTTGTTTGTGATTTCTTTGACTTTTTGTTTTGTGTGTCTTATTATTATTTTTTTCTTTTTTGCTTTGGCTTTGCGGTTGTTTTGTTTCTCATAGTTGGCATTTGATATACATGCCGTCATATATATATATACGTGTGTTTGTATGTTCCTGTGTATTTATTGCATTGCCGTCTTTCTTGCCATTGTTCCCCAAACATTTCTTGCTGATTTTATATTTATTGTTGTTGTCGCAATGCTGCCTACGTCTGTCACAATGTCGGTACTTTACTGCTTCCTTCTTATTTGCTTCCCCCAACAATGCAACAGCAACACCAACAACACCAACCAAGCAACGTCTGTCWCTCGCTTGCCTTACAATTGAGTTTGGTTGCCACAAATCAGCGGCGCTGCACACCGAGCCCGCGCCGCTACATAAGCTCCGCACCCACAAACAATTGAAAATCACATTCACAGTAAGTGCTGGCTATTGTTGTTGTTATTTTTACAGTTTCTGTTTTTCTTTTTCTTTTGTTGTATTTTTCTTCTGCGCTTACGCTGTGGCCTACGCGTCACTTGAWGCACGGCGCGGCGACCACAGCGCTCAACAACGCGGGGCAGCGCTCGCCGATGATTGTTGGCGGCGTGGAGTCAGAAATTCTGTTTTTTTTTTTTTTTGTAATTTTTGTTGTTGCTATTCATTTAATGTTTGTGATTGTAGGTTTTATGCTGATCTCTTAGCTCCATGGCTGGCGGCTGCTGGCCGCGCGTAGCTCGAAATCTCCGAAAGCGGAGCAAGCAACGTGAACGGCCGTGTGGAGAGTAAAAAKCAGACMAAAAAMMMMAWAAAAAATCAAACAATGAAAGAAAACCAGTAGAAAACAGTGAGCGCTGCAAATCTGCGCAACAAACAGCGCGGCGGYAGCAACAAAAACCGGTATGTGGCGCGGCAGTGAGAAGCAACAGTTGGGAGAGCGCGCGTGGAGAAGCGCTGCTTGCTAAAGAGCAGTGAAGAGCGCAGCACACAGTTGAACTATATACAATAACAACAATAACAACAGCAGCTTAGTGCCAACGCAAACGGCGCATTCCAAAGCGCGCGTCAACTGTGACAGCGGCTGCGCGGCGGCAGTCACAACAACATATTGTAGAGCAAGCGTCAGCATCATAACAAAAGTCAGCGCTAGTTTTTTCTGTTGTTGTGATGCTTATTTTTATTGTTGCCATTCGCAGCGTTAGTGTGGCAGTATAGGTATGTATGTACCGCCACCGCGGCGCTTTGCCGTCTTCCTGCCTGCGCTCCATACGCTCGCTTATAACGTCAGGGAAACGCGCGCTGTTTAGACGATATCACTACACATGCGCGCGCACACACACATATTCACCGCTGCGCACACTCAGTCATGCCGCGCTTAGGCGTTGGATCTAGTTGAAACTCAAGTCAACTATTACAAAAACAACCGCTGTTGTTGTAAATACAATATTTTGCAAAATAAAAATTGCGCCGCGACAGCAGTTTGGCGACTTTTCTTCGCGC